TTGAGCAGTAGCAGCAATACCTCGTCGTGCGGATTGCTAGACGCCCATGAGAGTGGCGTCCGGCCGGCCCGATCCGGGTAATCTACCTCGGCGCCCTTGTGAAGCAGTAGCTGCACAAGATCTGCGAATCCGTTTTCAGAGGCACAAGCTAATGGTGTTCCCACGTTACCACGAAAGTTGATATCAGCACCTCTTTCTATTAGTAGCCGCACCGCCTTTGTATGCCCTTCGTTGACAGCATACATGAGCGGCGTGAACGCAGGCATCAGCATCGTCATAGTACCATTTGTGGCACTAATTAGCGATCTGGTCAGACGTGCAGCTGGTCTCGGGCTAGACTCTCAGCAGTGGCAGCCAGCACAGGCAACCGGGCGAGAGGAGAAGCCGCGGGTGTCACGGCTCGTCTTCGTCAGTGCAGATCAGGTCAATAGCACAGAGTTCTCGACTTATACGGACTGGCTGCGAAGCCGGGGTCTGCTCAAGCGGTTCTTTGTCGACGAGTGCCATACGATTATTATGGACGCTAGCTATCGAAAGCGGCTTACGGAGCTGAAGTGTATCTACCGGTACGGCTGTCCGGTCATCTTACTGACAGCTACACTACCGGTGCGGCTTGCTTGCAGGGGACGCCGAAATCATCCGAGCAAGGACCGACAAGAAGAACATCAGCTATAACGTCATGCAAGTCACGGGACCAGGTCGGAGCGCAGTCGGGACGAGGTCGTATGCCTTATTGGCGTTTCAGATTCCCAGGCGGGGTTCTGTCAGAAGTGGGGCCTATGCCTAACAAGGAAGGAATGATCACCGACAAAAATGAGTTGCCCTTCGCCGTCCGTCGACCCTACCTCACACATCTCGTAGCTGCCCCCCTCTGGGGTTCACATTCCCAACTCTCTAGTAGAACGAAGCTAAGGCTACGGTTTAAGTTTTCTGAGGTCGTCGAGCCACACTTAGACCTAGGAAGGCAATTTTATTCAGCGCACCCAAAGTGCCGTCGCCGGGCAAGCTGTGGCAGTGCGACTAACCCCTCAGCTTTCTCTTCGTTCAAGCACGGGGCATAAGTTGTCCTTCCTTCCTGATTCGGTAAGTAGTGAAGCCACCCGCACAGTCGCTGGAGGTCGTCCACGTAGCGTCCCAATCCGGCGTCCTGAGTCAACCAAATTAACCGGGTGGTTACGGGTTGAAGATGTGATAGGTACAACGCCCTAAGGAATATTACCTCCGTACATGTAGTACTCTCTCGATCGGGTGTCGTGGCTTTCACAGAAGATACCGCTCCGGTGCAATTCAGTGACTGGGTCAAGTGTACGATTAGAACCCTAGATTGAGTCTGATGAAAAGTCACGACTATCTGGCTTAGGAACCTCCATAGCAAATTGCACCTTTCCTCCATGCCAGGTTTTCATAGAAATTTCCTGGTGGTCGCTCGATCCCTGACTGGCTGTCAGTTGCTTCGCACCTAACATTGGGAACCATCAATCGGTGCCTGTTTCCTGATATGGACCCTTATCGATTACTGCTTATCTAATCTGCACGTCGTTGTTTTACCCCACGTGCATGACCTGTCCGAGAGTCACGAAGGGAATACGCGACCAAGACTACACAAGCCGTCTAACAGGAACGCGACAGCGCTGGAAGTCTTAATCAATCCCGTGATCACACCCAACCCATAGAGTGGAACGAGTCGGTCCCTGATCGATCAACCTCACGGCAGGTCTATGATCTCAGCACGCACGTAACAGCAGAAGCTAGTAATGAAGGACGCGGATCTCCTGCATTCATTGATGGTGATGTCCTCGTGGGGGCAGGAGCATCAAGTATGGTCGCGGTACCCCAGGCCGCGGAATCCATCATTGGTACTTTTTTCAAATACAGGGTGCCAGACAGCGAGTGGTTACCCTTTTATATCGCAAAACCTGATCTCCACCCATGCTAAGCTCTAAGTCGAGCAATGCCGCAGGTGTGTCCCATGTCGGAGATCAGGATGTAGATGTCCCGATGTTACTTAAGCTGGGCAGGCCCGTTTCTGACGGCTTAATAGCGACTTGACGGCCGCATATTCAACCGTCAAGGCGTGGGACTGGCGTCTACCATCTTTATAGACAGCGGCAGCCCCTAGGATTGCTTGGCTTCGCGGCTGAAGATATGAAGGACGTGGAGGTAGGGCTCACTCGTAGGACTCGCAAGCCTTAATTATCAAACGCTTGCTAAAACGCCTCAAGATATCGATCGATGGGAGCAGCTGATTTGCATACTGAACAGGAGGTTTTGGAGAGAATGGAACATTGCATCGATGGTCCGCTAGCCCCAAGGAGATGTCACTCTTGATTCTCCTCAATAGCACCGGTCGCTTCTCTTGGAAGTGGACCAGGCCGAGGGCCGAGATAGTGGAGCCCGATTATGGTGATAGCCACAAGACATAGAAGCCATTTGATGCTGACGGGCGTATGGCTCTCTTTGATGTTGCGAAGAAGAATCTTGAGACAATTTGTCATGATTGAACATCAACATCAAATTAATCGCCGACAGCCGTGTAATCCAACGAATTGACAGTGTCAACACGTCGATATTACTGTGTTGTCGAAGCTGATGACCTCAGGAAACCGCTTCCACATCTGGAGGCAGTACGGAAAGGTCCAGACAAGACCGACGAGGCGGTTTGGCTCATCATCCGCCCACTTAACAAGATAGGGAATCTCCATCTCGTCGAACAGCTTGATCAGTGCTGCAGTAGGAGTGTGGCCGCTCAACTTGTCTCGGCTGATACGAGACCTGGCGTTATAGATATCCTTTCGTGTAAAGGATGACTCGGGATGCTGCTCCAGGACGATCCCGCGTACGTCACGGGCCCGAATTCCGACCCGACGGCTTGTCGATTTGACTGTTGCCCTGATAGGTGTAGTGAGTCGTCTGTGGGAGGGATGGGCGGATGGTTTGATACTGGCCCCGTGGTTATGCTGGCTATGCTCGGAATTATCGTGGTGTCGTAGAAGCCATCTACCCTCCTCCAGTGCTTCGGCAATGACCATCCATTTACAACCACACTTTCGAGACTTCCGTTGCCGAATACCGGTACTCTCTGAGGGGCGTGGTTCTCCGAATCGATCGCATTGGAAAGAGTACCGGATCTTCCGACCCTTATATGAGTAGGCATTTCGTCGAACAATACCGAAGCCATTAGCCTTCGCGAAAGTATTCACCCGCTCGAACAGGACTTCGGCTGACGGCGCTGGGTCGCCTGGGATAGGTGGGTTCGGGATCGGGTCAGGGACAGGCGACAAGGGGTGGTCGGGCGAGGGCGGCGAGGCGATAGGCGGAGAGTGCCTTTCTCGGGGAGGCGAGTATGGCGGAGATGATTCGAATGCAGTTGAACTGAGCGGCGAGTAGCCCCATATCTCGCGCCATTGGCGGACTCGTTCGTATGACCGGACGAGCTCGATGGTAAGTCTTCGATCTGTCCCAATCACCTCGCGCACTAGCCTAAGGGCGGACTGAAACTGGGGTCTTGTTGGAGAGAATTGTTCTTGTGCTGATTGTTGTGGAGAGCAGGCTGGTGGCTGGTCGATTTCCGGGCCTGGTATAGGCATTCTTACTCGTTGCGACCGTCTTCCTCGGGTTGGGAAATCATTCGATAGGTGAATCTCATGATCGAATCGCAGCTCCCATGGTGGCTCGTTCAGCCCACGCGATCCATGGGGGCGTGGAGCGGTCGTGAAGGTCTCTGCGTACGAGGCGAAAGCATTATAGAGTGCCTCGTCGTCTCCCACGCCATAGTGTGGGCCAATGCTCGTCCCTGTGCTATTAGACGAAGGTGGTCTTGAACTCTCAGATTGGTTCTGCCGCTGTCGTTTTCGAGGACGTAATTGATAGCTTCGTAGTCGTTGGTTGCTTGCTGAGCTAGATCGAGAGTCGGGCTGGGACATAATGACGGCCTTGATCGCGACAGGAAGAGTGTCGCACGCACGGATGAGAACATGGTTAAAGGGGCAGTTGATTTGACTATGAAAGAAGGAAAGAGGGGACCAATTTCAGCACAAAGGAATGACCTGCTTTGTGATGCAGATGCCTTGGAAGATGAGGCTATTGGATATTCCTGATACAGCGTGTGTTTGAGTGTTGGTCTCAGCAGGGGGCCTAACACACCACGCCTGGAGCCCTGTGACCTTGACAAATATGGTATCTTTCACGAACAATCATTATCAGTAGGCTTGACATGCGACAAGAGGTAATTGGTGTAGTAGCTAGCTAGTGAATAGCTTCCATATGTCTCGTCGATCGTCGTGGTGGAGAGCTAATCCCGAGGTACAAGGGGAGCGTTGGCAGAATCTAGATGCACTAACAAAAAGGGATGGACCAATCAGAGGCTGCAAAAGGTCATGCCCGTGTAAGAGTCATGCCCGGGTAGCAATTCTTCATGCCCGTGTAGTAATTGCCCGTAACAAAGGGGCGTGGAGGAACAACGTACATAGCGCTTCTCGCAGGTAGTTCCCGGGGCATCTTGTATCAAAAAGTTTGTAATACTTCCTTCTCAACTTGTTTGCCGGCTCTTCGATTCTATCTCACACGCCACGTCTCGAGTCTGTTTGTGTTGTCGTGGATGAAGCTCCAGTGTTCTAGTCTGCAACGGCCACAATGAGAAGGCGGCCAAGATCGAAGGGCGCCTCTGGGCGCTGGCAAGGGAAAGCGTCCCAGCGATATGGACGAAGAGCTGCTCTACTGGTCCATGAAGCTTAGGGAAGGTTTCGACGAGGAGAATCAATATGTCGACAAGGAGGAGCTTTGATATCATGTGGACCGTGCAGTTAGTCTTTGCTTTCCAGACAAGAATGATGTGGTTCTTGTTCGTACAGAAATGCATATGGCCGGAATACTTTTTCTCTATTTCTCCTCCAATCTGCTCCCAGTTAACGAAGCGGGTCCTACTTGCCGAGTCCTCCAAATCATCGCGAACCCTGCACCCCAGCCCTGTCATTACCAGAACACCGCACAATCCTTGTCCCTCAAAAGTAGCCCATCAGCCCCAAGCTTAATCCAAGCCCAAGCGGAATAAAACCCCAGTGAGCCCACTGCTTCCCTGCACCGAGCCTGGCTCTGCTGATGAGTCCATCGACGAAAGCCAGGCTTGAGTTTGCCACCCAGAACTTTGCCAGCAATGTGTTGTCGCCACCGTCGTGAGGCGAGAGTGCAACAAGGAGGGTAAGTGTGGCAAAGAGCAAGTTGCGCGCGCCGTAGAATTGGGCCACGTGCTGAGCCGCAAGCTGCGGCGTAGCCACCACTCCAGAGCCTTTCGTTGGCGTCGCTGGCGATGGTGACGTCAGCGGTATTTTGTAGCCTAGCACCTCGAGGGCTGCATTTGGGCGAAGGACGGCGTTGAGGCCAAGCGCGAGGGGGGCGGCGGCTGTCAGTAGGCCCAATCGCCGGAAGATATCTGGCGCAACCATGTTATTGTTGTGCTCTGTGTACTCGGAGGTGATAATACGAAGTCTTTGAGGAAGTTTTGAGAAGCTTTGACGAAACGCTTGGTGAGCGGTCGAGCCGATTCATCGCTTTAAGAGCCGCCCAAGGACAGATCCCAGCCGTGGTAAGCTCTCCGCTTCAAGTTAGTGCTTATACAGGTTAGTCAACCTGCCGTCCCGATTGGATATTGAACACATGGAGAGACTGTTGGCTTATTCTACCTTTGCCGATTAGTCATGCATGCTGACTTTCTTGCAATGTGTGTGCAACGGCGAGCTTGAACATTGATTCTTTATTCTGTGATCTGGTGGAAGGGAATCGTTAAATGGCAATATGAGTTCTTGTCAACCGTCAATAGTTCACGACGCCGGGCACTGTCTGGTTTCAAGGCGAGATTGTTGTTGCTTCTCGTTGATGGCAAGCAGCCTTGAGGTCTGCACCACAATATAATTGCCTCGCGAGTAGCTCTGCTTCTTCAATCATCTTCACAGGCCTCTGGTGCTCCACTCCCTCAACTTGTGACCAAACACCCACAATAACAGCGGACACGGCACTCCCAATGCCAGCGTCACGAACCCAAGCATGCTATTGCCCCACCCAAGCCCTAAACTCTCATACATCCTCGGTGCGAAGAGCGGGAACCCGAATCCGCACATCGTCCTCAAGAACGCGCCCACCGCCGACGCGCTCGCGGCGTGGCCAGCCCCATACGCATCGGTAATGTACGCCTGCGAGCTCTGGAACGCGATGATGAGGCCACAGCAGAACACTGCGGCGCCCATGTCCGGCACGATCCAGTGCTGGTGCGTGTGTGCGGCCCAGCCGAACAAGAACAGGCCGACGGGGGCGAGCAGGCCGCCGAGGACCATTGGCGGGGCGCGGTACTCGGGCTTGCCGTCCGGGGTGTTATGGTGGGCTTTCAGCTTGGCGTAGAGCTGTTCACAGAAGAAGTATAAGTCTTGCAGCTCTGTGGGGAAGTACTGGCAGATACTCGACAGAGCACTTACGCCGTCCATGAGAGGGTGACTGATCTGCAGGCCCACCAAGAAACCAATGCACAAGGCGAGATAGTGTAAGCTCCCGGTGCCCGCGTCGAGGCGATACTCCTCCGTCCATATCCAATCATAGGTTGAGAGCCTGTTGATCATCCACGTCAGTCGCTGAGATTGTGTCAACTCCAAAGTAATGGACTTACACCAGGTACATGACCCCGTAAAGCACCGCTCTATATAATGACGGAAACTGTACAGCGGGGTGTGTGAACAGCATAATGAACGGCAGCGTCAGGCGTCGCCTCAGAATCGCCCCGAACGTCTTTTCGGGCGTGTCGTACTCGGTGCGAATGTGCTTATTGCCAGTCTCCTTGCGCAATGCCTTGGCTTTCTTTGCGAGTATTGCAGGGGCATATGTCTCGCGGAGAAACAGGAGCGCCAGAAGCTGGACAAGAACATCGAAGAGCGAGGTTGCCCAAAATATCCTTTGGGATGATTAGCCACATCTCCATAACCACACTTGAGAAGTAGTGCAGAGTTGAACTCACCACCGCCAAGACGTTGAGCGAGAGACATAAGCACCGACAATAGGAGCGACGCATGGTCCGATGGACGTTAGCGTCCCGTAGATGGACTGTCCCAGACCGCGCTCCTCCTTGCGCCAGACGTCTGCCAGAACACCGTTGCAGAGCTAGATAAGGATTAGTCTCATAACGCGTTGTTAGCCAGAAATGCGAACTCACTGCCTGTGGTGCACTTCCACCGATGCCACTCAAGAATCGAAAAACCAACATCTGATCCCTAGTCTGCGCAAAGCCGCATGCGGTATTGAATACCAGGTACACCAAATTTGCATACTGGAGGACACAAACCCTTCCAAAGATCTCAGACAGCGGTGCCAGCACAAAGGGGCCCTGCGCGTATCCGAGCAGGAATATGGTCATGAACAAGACCCGCGTGAAAGATTCGTTCTCGGGGACACCCAGATCGCTGCTCATTTGTGGTAGTGCAGGTGTGACCATCGTCGATGAGAAGGGCGAGATGAATGTGAAGCACGAGACTAGAATTGTGGCGACCCATTTGCGTGAGCGGGACCAGTTGAGAGGGTGCTGGGGGTCGTCCGGACCGCTCCATGTCAGCTAGGAGGTACCAGTTAGCTCTCTTGATGATTCTTCGGTCTTGGCTGCTCTTTGATCGCTTACCACCAATGGGTTATTCTGGTCATCACTGAATTGTGAAGCAGAATCTGCACTGGGCGCAAGTGGCTCTTGGGAATCGCAACTGTAGCGTATCCTGTACAGAGATTCCACGTCAAATGCCGCCTCGAAGGGCGGCCTGGTCTCAAAATCGAACGACGGCAGACTGCATTCCCGTTTTTCCGCACAGTCTGTTGACTTCCTGATCTTTCCTCCGAGCTTCACGGGGAGAAAATGTGGCATTATGTGACAAGCGAGTGTGAGTACAAGCAATATATGAAACGAGAGCGTCTGGTGTCTCTCATTCCTACTACTGAAGGCAATGACCAGCCGAATTGTATTCTTATCGTCAGAGTATCTTCTGCAAGTGGCGAAAGGTAATCGCGCTATGCATGGCCGATTTGTGCTGGCAATGACACTGTGGCTGTGCGCCACTCACCTTCTGCAGGTACAGACACCGGGAAGACATTACACGAACACCAAGAGCGGCTTAGACGTCTGCGCCTATCGTAACAGAGACGCCGCCGACATCAGTAACAGTCTGCTTTCCTGCCGAAAAGCAGCAGCTAACAGCCAGCCTCGCTGCCTGATCCAGACGCTCTGCGAGGCGACGCAGGTGCCTTCAGGCCTGGTTCCAGAGACCCTTGTAAAGCCGCGTTCCCCCAAAAGCCGAGCCTCTCCAACCGCGTCTACCGGCGGGGCTGTGCAAGAGTCGCTGGCGTCTTGGGAAGTCAGTACCTTCCAATCGCCTGTTGCCAGCCAAGCATTGGCAGAACATTGGCAGATGGTGCCACGACACTAGCCCGCAACTTTGATTTGTTACACACCAACTTTGTTCAACTCGATCGACGCTCCAAATGGAACTTGCGATTGGAGCAGGCCACCAACAAGAATCCACAATTGCCTTGGCCTGCGTGTCGTGTTCTTAACGAGCCAAGAGTACAAGAGATCGACGCTCAGCTAGTTGAAGATGGCTGTGGAGAGACAGCGAATGGTCGCCAAGATTTGGCACATTGCTAGCAGAAAGTCACGCGACTCTTGCAGTAAAAAAGAACTCGTCAGCACCGGCAATACGTATGCCAGGCGGCACGCCCGCACTGAAGTCTTGAGGGTAGGGATGAGCAGCATCATGGACTTGTAATTTTCCTGGCCACCTGGTGATGCTATTTTGAGCCAAGGGGGTGGAGGACTGCCCCAGTGGTCGCGTGCTTCGTGGCAGGATTGGGGATAGGGCATACCTTAGAGCTGGGCGAGGTTTCACAGCCCTGCGGACCTGTGCATTAACGAGAAGTGCTGTGGCCGTGCTGTGTGCTGGGCAGGGACGATGCGCTTGGCTAGCAATCACTTTTCCAGATGGATGCGTGAGTCTTTGCGGGTCATGACAGTTCGGCGATCAGACATCACGGCACGAGGAGAGGATGTTCTGAAAATAGGACGTCCTCGCTGAAGAGCATGCCAGTGAGCTCCTCCGTGACCGACCAACACCGCCACGAGATGCTTCGGCACCATGACTTGGATCATATCTACGCCAATCCAAACAACGTCTATATCAACTCCTGCCAGCCCTCAGTCCTGGTGGCGTTCTTACGGCAAGCCATTACATCATCCTCCCTTCGCTCCACTACTGAACATCACTCGCTTTACCGGACAGTCTCTACCATACCTCACTCGCTTTTAATTCATATTTGCTCTCATCGTGGTATCATCTGATAGACAGAGCAAAATGACCGCAGCCATGACCTCCACGACCATGAAGACGATGCCCACAATCCGGCTGCGCGCGCAGAGTCCACAGCCTGGCGTAGCAAGCCCTCTGACTCTCTCCCCACCGCCATCCACGCCCGACCGTCCCAAGTCCGCCACTGCGCCTCCAAAGCTCCGCATCCTCGTTGCTCCGTCAGGCTTCAAGGAGAGCCTCGGTCCGGACGAAGTCGCGGACTGCATTGAAGCCGGCATCCGGCGTGTGCTGCCCGATCCCTCGGTCGCCGAGATCCGCAAGTTGCCGCTGCACGACGGCGGAGAAGGCTTCTGTCGTGCTCTCGTGGCCGCCATGCGTAATGCCAGTGCAGTCACTGGCACCAAGCTGAATATCACTGATGGGATCCGTGAGGTCCTCGTTACTGGGCCAGTTGGGAAGCCAGTCCTCTCGCACTATGGCATTGTGACGCTTGACACTAAAGCACGGGCTGCAGTGGCGTCAGACCTGGATAAGACTCAAAAGATTGGGATTCTCGACATGGCCGCCGCCGCAGGATTATCTCTCGTCCCGGCCACCTGTCGCGATCCCACACTGACCACAACATACGGCGTCGGCGAGCTGATCGCGGCCGCACTGGACGAGGGGTGCGACAGGATCATCGTCGGCTGCGGAGACTCGGGAACGTCTGACGGCGGCGCAGGCATGCTGCAGGCTCTTGGTGCGAGACTCCTTGATTCTCAGGGTAAGGAATTGCCCCGAGCTGCTGGAGGAGCGAGTCTGCTGGGCCTCGAGGAGATTGACATGAGCGGGCTCCATCCCCGCCTCAGAGACTCCGGTCAGTTTACCTCCTGATCATGAAGTGCTTTCCGCAAACCTTTCCAGACTGACCGCCATACTCTTCTCAAACAGCCACCAAAGTACACATCGAAGCAGTGTGCAACATCAAAAACATCCTCACCGGCCCGCGCGGCGTGGCACGTGTCTACGGGCCCCAGAAAGGTGCTTCTCCAGCGCAGGTCAAGCTCCTGTCCAGGGCCCTCGACAAGCTCGCCAGCGTGGCTGAGCGCCTGTCACCTGTTGAGCACCACAACATCGGCACACGCCCCGGCAGCGGCGCATCGGGCGGTCTGGGCACTGCGATGCTCCTCCTCGGCGGCCGCCTCCGGCCCAGGGAGGACGCCATCGACGAGTACTTTGGCGTGAGCCAGCTCTTTTCACCTCCAGCGGCTTCTCAGTCCCTCGATCCCTTGAAAGCCCAGCAGAAGAAATGGGACCTCGTCGTTACTGCGGAGGGTTGTCTCGACGCACAGTCCGCGCAGGGCAAGCTGACCGTCGAGATTGCGCGGCGGGCCCGCAAGCACGGCGCCGCGGTTGTCGCGCTGGCGGGCACCATCGGGGCGGGCGCCGATGGCGTGTACGACGACGGGATTGCCGCTTTTACGAGCATCCTCGATGGGCCGCGGAGCTTGCGTGACGCCATTGATAGTACTGCCGTGCTGTTGACGGATGCGGCGGAACGGGCCATCCGGATGATACAGATGGGCATGGGGTTGAGAGGAGGGGCGGTTGAGACGAGGCAGGCAGGGGCGGAGGAGAGCCGCCTAGAAGATTTCAAGCGTCTCTCTGGCCCCGTGGAGATGAGGCTTGCGCGATCGTGGACTAGCTAGGCCTCCCCTGGGGGAGCTGAAGCGTACTCTCGTGCGCCGCGAGGACCGGAGCCCTTTTCCACGTTATTCTGTGTGCCGTAAGACTAATGTTTACCACCATGTCATCGACTTGTTCAGATATCAACCACTGCGGCAGCAAAGGTTTGGGGTGTGAACTTGGGGACCAATGTCATGAGCATATCAGCATAAGCAACGACAGCGACGCCCTGAAATGCTCAGATGCTTGTTGAGCGTGATCATAAAGGATAAGTGCCACTACCACTACGTGAGAATCCAATGCAAAGCAGCGGAACCCCTCCTGGAGCCCTCAAGTGTCCAGGCCTTGCATCTCCAGCTACACCCCAAACATGCCGATCCACAGACCTTCACAAGCCATCACTTCTCATCCACGTCGACCCCGCAGACGTCGAGGCGGTACTCTGTGTCCTCCTCCCATACGCTCCTCTTCGTTGGCGCAAGCCCTTATGTCGACTAGGCAGATCGTACGTCTAGCACACAAGGGGGTTGCCGCCAGGGGCCTTGTAGTTGGTAGGAACGGGGTAGTAGATGTTGACCAGCAAGCCTGGGTCGCTGGGGCTGTAGGAGCCGGGGAAGGACAGGAGGTTGCCGGGCGTGCTGCCCGAGCCGCCAGAGACCTTGACCTGCGTGCACGAGATGTACAGCTGGGCGCCGTTGACGGAACTGGCCGAGTGCAGGCCAATGTGCTCGAAGCGGACGAGGTACTCGCCGCTGGGGATGCACTTGGGGATCGTCATGGTGACGGAGGAGACGCCATTGTTGGGCCACTCGAGGCCAGACGAGACGACCTTGGGTTGGTCCTGGTACACCTTGAACCAAACCGCTCCTTTGCCGTCGAAAGTGGCCGCCGAGGAGGGCGCCTTGGCCATGTAGATGTTGAGCCGGCCGGGGTGGTAGATGTTGGGCGCGATGCCAAAGGTGATGGTGCCGCCCGCGGTCACGGCAAGGGTGCTGGCGGTCGACTGGCCCGGGTTGCGTTCGTAGCACGTCATGGCGGACGAGGTGACGTCTGTCACGGGGCCGTTGGACTGGTAGTTGGATGTGATGCGGGTGAACTGCCAGTCGGACCCTGAGACGCCGTTGGCACTGGCGCGAGGGATCGTGTAGTGGGCCTGAGCGGCTGAGCCCAGCAGCAGAAGGGATGAGAGGAACTTCATGGTGGTTTGTTGGAGAGAATTCTGGTCTGGTCAGTAGATCGTCCTTCGAGGAATGGATGGGCAGCGGGCCTTCGCAGGGTAGAGACGAGAAAGTCTGGAGCGACAGAGTCCGCTCTTATTTGTTTCACGTCGAGCATCCTGCGTCTCTTCATGAATATGAACCATTCACAGAATCGAACACTTCACAGCAGAGCATAGTCGGCTAAATGACCCTCGGACCTATGGAAACTACAGGTTTCGTCTAAGGGAACGGGATTGCGGTAGATGGATGCGGCTCAAACGGTGCGTTATTGCGACGCTGCTGATAACTGATCGTGGAGGGCATCCGCGGCGCAGATCAACACATTGTTTGCCCATTCAATCGCCCAGTTGGAAATTGAACTACAAATTGCATGGCCTTATGAATGTCCTGACCATCATTCCCGGCCGGGAAGCGCTCACTTTTCGCGCACTCCTGGTGGGCAGGGGGCGCGGCGGCACGGGCCATTGAGCTCATTCCGGTACCCCAGGTTGAGTTCATCCCGGCCAGCAAAAGGTCAGCTAACCCTAACCCACCCCCCCCCCAGCAGGGGTCTAACCTTAAACCCCAGCCCAGCCCGTCCGTCCAAGGGGGCAAAAAGGAAAGCGAGTGACGGGCAATAATGAGAAGAGCGCGTACACGTAATGGGACTAGCCCGGGGGGGTTGAGGGAGCAGGAGGATGAAACGGACATTGTACGGGCTCGAACAGCGACGCCAGCTCGGGGTCTCTTCCCACGATGCACGCGACAGGAGAAGTACAGTAGTAGCCCCAAGAACAACAGGCACAGACAGCAGGTACAATGAACCGCAGCAGCAGCCAGGGGGGCGATTCCGACAGCGATCGCAGCGATGCTGAGGGAGACAACGTCGCGCAACAGGAGCCGGACACGAAAGCCACGACAACGATAGAGTCAGGGCCGGCGCGAGCCACGACGATAGCGACGCCAGCACTGTATCTACGCAGGGCAAGCCGCGTACTCATCTGTACGCTATGTAAGGCAGGCATCCCAGCTGCCGTAGGCGGTCTAGTTACCCACTACCGACAGAGGCACCGGCTTAAGGGCGGCCAGCTACAGGCAGTTAAATCGGCAGCGGCGGCAGTAGCAGCAGCGGTAGAGGGCTGCGTGTGGTCCTTATACTTCCCTCTCCCACTCTCTCCCCTCAATTACTCCCTCGCGCACCCCCCTTTTAACCCCTAGTCCTTACCCCAGGTCCCGGGGTTTGAGGCAAGGGGGCGCGCACCCCTTGTTTCCCCTGGTAATGACTGTCATGGTAGTGGTCGTCACTCGAGCTAACCCGCAGCCCGCTGACTCAGCCTTAACTATGGGCTTACCCCAACTTGCCCCTGGTAGTGACCGTCACTACCGGCCTGAATGATGGGCAGGGGGAATTGGGGTAGCCCAAGTGGCCGGGGGGGGCGGCTGGTCCCCTTGGGGTTAGCATCCCTGCCCACTGTAAGTTTGTGTCCAAGTGCCAATTCTAGTATGGCGCACTTGGGGTTCAGAATGAGTCCAATGGCCCGAGCGTCTAGCCCCTGTTCTATGGCAGAAACGCGCCAACTGGACAGAAACTGCTTGTGAATGATGGTCAGAACCTTCGCCCGTGATATCGACGTGTATATCCTATATAACTAGTACCCTCTAGCTGGCCCTAGATCCAACCTAGCTCCCGTACGACCGCTTCCAGAACTGCAAGCCCGTTCGTCATCCTCTCTCCGAGTACCTCTCGCGGCCGCACGATCCATTCTCGCCACTCCTCCATCTCCGGCAAGCCCCCTTCGACCTCGTCCTCTACTATCTCCCGTAGTAGATCCTGCTTCTGCACGTACATTAATACCGGTAGTACCTTGTCGTTCCACCGGCATTCCTCCTGGCGCGTTCGCTTCCAGCCACGCTCGAGACCTAAGCAGTCCATCTCCTCTCCCTCCGACTCCGAACCCTCCGTACGTCCTAGCTTCTCGCACCAATCCAGCCCCAGTCCACAGCGCCAGCAGCAGCTTCCTTCGATAAACTGCAGACCTGTCCGCCACTCGATGTAGTCCGCCTTCCTAATTACACGACACCTCTCTAGCCTGTGCCCGTACGACCTCCTGTTCGACGCCGGTGACCCTACTAGCCGCCACTGTATGTAGCACACGGTACACCGGCTCTCTCCTTCGACCTCTCCTAGCCACTTCCGGAGTAGCTCTTTCCTCTGCTGCTGCTGTACCTGGTGCTCCTTAAATCGGTTCGGCACGTCTGGTCCCTCCTCTTCTGATTCCTCCGCGTCCACCGTACTATCGTCCGCCGCCTCGTCGTCTTCTGCCGTATCCTCGTCGCTGTCCGCTCCGCCCTCGCAGTAGTCGCACTGTACCGCCCCTATCGTACCACAGTCCTCCCCTTCTACGCCGTCCATAAACCTGCCGAGCACCGCTCGCCGGCACTCCCTACCCTGGACGAACTCCGCCATTGCTAGCCGGTTCGTCCTCTCTACGTCCGTCTCTCGACCCTCCTTCTCCTGCCGTCTCTTCTGCTGCCCTGGCCCTGCCTCGTCTGCTAGTATGATAACCGCCTCGACGACCTCCCCGTCTCTGCGGCCGCCTCGACCCGTCTGCTGTACGTAGTCCACTAGCCCGTACGGCTCTTCTGTGTGGATAATTACGCTGATTCCGGGGATGTCGACGCCCGTGCCGAGACCTGTCGTTGCTATGATCCACCGGGACGGGCCGCTGCCGCTCATCCACGCCTCGAGTACCTCTTCTCGGGCATTGATCTCCATCCCGCTATGGTAATACCCGCACCCGATCCGCTCCGCTAGTTTCTCGCTGTCCTTCTTCGAACGGCAGTACACTACCCCCTTCTTATCGCCGTCGAGTGCCCCGGAGCCGTTCCTCTCCTCGACTAGTCGGACGACCTCGTCCTGGACCGCGTTTTCCTGCTTCCGACCTCTTCCTCCGGCCCTACCCGGGACTGTAGTAACGGCATACCGGATGTTCGTCTTTGTTGTTCGTGCCCGTATAATCTCGGCGTCCTCTGCGATCATCTGCTGCCGAAACCAGCCCTCCAGCTTGACCGGGAGTGTAGCCGTGAGCAAGATTACCGGGCAGTCGTACCGGTACAGCCCCTTCAGCTCCGTAAGCCTCTTCCGGTAACCGACGTCCATGATAATCGTATGGCACTCGTCGATAAAGATCCGCCGTAGTAACCGCCGGCTCCGTAGCGTATCTGCGTAGTTGCAGAACTCGTGGTTACTTGCCTGGTCGGCGCTGACCACGACTAGACTGGCCACGCGCACGAGCGAGTTGACCTCCCGGCCCTCCTCCTCGGCCGACCTCCACCGGACGCAGTCGATCCCGAACGAGCGTGCCCTCGCTACGAGATCGTCGATCAGCGCCACGAACGGCACGACGACGATACTAACACCGCCGTTTACCCCTCGTACGGCCGGGACCATAAATAACAGACTCTTGCCGCCGCCCGTCGGTAGCACGACGATAAGTACGGAGCCGCCTCGCATCTGCATGATCCGGACCATGGCCTGCTCCTGCTCTGCCGTCCTCCAGCGGGTACCGGCCCCGATAATCGACTCGAGCCCTTGCTGGATCCGGCGCCTAATCTCTCCGGCGGCCTCTGGGAGCGGCTTCCTCTGCTTCGGCGGTCGTGGGCTCGACGATTCGGCTTCCGAAGACTCTCGCTTCCGCTTCCTCGTCCGCTTCTGGACCTTGCCCGGCGACTTGCCCTTACCCTGGCCATCCCAGCTCAGATACTGGTGCCAGAGCCGGCTGATCTCGCGGTAGTTCGCAATCATCTGCGGCTGCAGCTGCCCTGGGAACTGGATGTTGATCGCGTAGTGCGATCGTGCCATAGCACTGCTATGTGTTGCTTGCAGATCCCAGATTACCTCTGTCCGGTCCCTCGCCCGTAGCTCGCCGGTAGCCTCGTCGAATTCCTCGTCCTCGGGTCCGTATCCGTCCTCGGCCGCGCCGACCTCGAGCTCCTTCTGCTGTACGACGAGCCCCTGGATCGTCCGGCCTAGCTCGATCGCTAGATGCCGGTACGACGAAGTACCTAGCTCGACGCCGAGATGGCCCGCTGTAGCAGCCCTGAGCTCCTTCGTAAGCACCTCCGTTCCCCAGCGGCCCTTCCGGCCGTCCTTCCATAGCCAGTGCCGTAGTGATTCAGACGGCTTTCGAGCCCGCGTCATATCGAGTAGCATCTCCTCGAACGGGACCAGCCAGACGAGAAAGACGACGAGTAGTCGTCCGATCCGTTCCGGCAGAAAACGTGCGACCTTTCGGCCGTAGCCCCGGATCGACTTGGCCTTATCTCGGTCTGTTACGAGCATTACCTGCCCGTCGTATATAAACGCTCCGGCTAAGCTGCTTCGTATCCAGATACCGCACGCTTGTGATCTCGGGCCCTCGACCTGGCTGGCCTCCCCAGACGTGCGTTAGTACGAGCAGCTGGCTCTTCGGCGTCCCGATCTGGTTCAGCCACTTTTGCGACCTCTCCCGGTGGTACTGCTGTCGCTGCGGCGACCAGAGCTTCTCCGAGACGAGCTCGGCAACGACGCGTGGCCCGGCTCGGAGCCACCTGTTCTGCGGGTTCGTAATAAATGATTTCCCGCCCCCTTCGTACATCACGCTATCGTTGATTTTGCTGAGCTCGATCCGTTCTAGTAGCGCCACCGAATGGCCGTGTAGCAGCCCGTCGAGCGTCGTAAACTCAGCCGGCGCCCGGAACCGGGCTCGGACGGGGTCGATCGCGAGTACCGTAGTAAAGTGCAGTAGCGGGTTCACGTACGGCCGGATCAGCACCTGCTGCGTGAGCGACAGAATACAAAACGTGAAGACGGCCTCGTCTAGATATCCGTCCTCGCCGTCCTCCTCCTCGCCGCCGCTGCCGCTGCCTACCCGGGAGCTCTCCTCCTTCGTATTATCGAGAGCCTCGGTGACGGCTTCGAGAGCGGCCCCCTGCCCGTCGGTAAACTGGACCTGGTGCTTCCTCCTCGCCTCCGCACGGCCGAGCCGGAAGACCCGGACGCAGTAGCATAGATAGCGCCGCCAGTAGCTCCGGTACTTCTCCATCGTCTGCGCCTCCTGCTTTATACTAAACGGCCGCGGCGACGGCCGGTTCGGGTCGCGGCTCGCCAGCCAGCAGAGCGCCTCGACGGGCACCTGGCCGATCCGCCGGCTGCACCGGTCGATCACCCGGTCGAAGCTCTGGCCAAGCCGTACCAGCGCCGCCTCCGAAGCCTCTCTCTCCTTCCGTGCCGCCTGGCTTAGCTTGGCCAGCTCCTTCGTCGACAGACCTGGCTCGGCCGCGCGCCGTAGCTCCGCCATATCCATGCCGGCCAGATGCGCCGCCCAGCCCATCTGGCGGACCCACGGCGACTCGAAGTCGACGCCGGCCTCGTAGTCGATAATCCGGCCCCGCTCCGCCTCTTCGGCGGCCACTTTGGCCTCGTACGCCGCCATGTGGGCCTCCCAGACTTGACCTCCACCGCCGCTGTCCGGCCCCGGCTCCGCGCTGGCCTCTCTAGTTGCCTGCCCCGCCGCTGGCGATTCCACGATCCAGTACCGTGTGCGGTGCCTGGCCGACGAGAACGACTGTAGTCGCACCTCTCTCCAGCGCGCGGCGCCAGTACCTAGCGACCACTCGCCGTGGCTAGTATCGCCGTCGGCTGCTGCTCTAGCCTGGTGCTTCTGGACCTCATCCCGGCTCCTCGTTACGAATCGGCACGCTCCGCAGCAGAATCCGGAGTGCACCTGGAGCTGCGTGATAGCTGGGCTGCCGTCCGCCGGTAGCTCCGCCTCGTGTGGCTCCGCGAGCCCTCCGCGGCCCTCCACCGCCGCCGCTGCTGCCGCCGCCGCCGATTTGACGGCCCGTAGCTGGCCGCCTTTGAGCTGGTGCTTCTGTCGGTAGTGCGTGACCAGACCGCTCTCGGCTGCCGGGATGCCTGCCTCGCATAGCGTGCAGATCAGTACGCGGCTCGCCCTATGCAGATAGAGATCTGGCGTCGCTGCCGTGGGCTCTGGCTCGGTTGTTGCCGTGGCTCTCGCGTCCTGCTCCTGCTGCGCGACGCTGCTGTGATCGCGATCGCACTCGCCTCCTTGGCTGCTGCTGTCCATCGTGTTTGCTGCCTGTACCTGTGATTCTCGGCGCTACTTCTAATCTTCGACTCTCGCGTGTATATTCATTGGGGAAGAGACCCTGAGCTAGCTGAACAGTTCAATGCCTACGCGCGTCCGTTTTAACCTCGTCCTCCTTCTCACGCGCGCGTTCCCTCCTTCAGACTCCCGGGCTAGTCCTATTACGCGTACGTGCTCATCTCCTTTTATTACCTGTCACTCGCTTTCCTTCTTGCTGCTGCAGCAGCACCTGGCCGCACGCGCGGCTGGGCTGGGGGTTAAACGGCTCAGCTGGGGGTTAAGGTTAGACCCCTGCTTGGGGTAGTGGGGGTTAGCTCCCATTTGGCTGGGCCGGAATCAACTCAATTGGGGTACCGGAATGAACTCAATGGCCCGTGCACCACGCCCCCTGTCCCACCAGGAGTGCGCGAAAGTGAGCGCTTCCCGGCCGGCAATGATGGTCAGGGCGAGGCGGCTGATGTCGTGGTTCAGGTTGCCAACTCCGACGATGAGGCAATGTCACTGGCACTTCTTGAAGGCGTCGCCAAGCATGCTGGGGCAGCCTACGTGCACGTCTCTGGGATCGCCACTCTTATCGACCAGAATTTCCCGCTCGGCCAGTTGGACACCCGCGTTTACAGCGATGCGACCCAAACAGCCGAGATACTCAGCCTGTCGCACGGCCACCTCCACGCTGCAATCGAGCAAAAGATCGTGGAACAATCGGAAGCACTGCAGACCAAACTCGCTATTGTGTCGCTGCCGGTTATGTATGGGGAAGGCCGAGGACGCATGACGCCGCAATCCAAGGTTTTCCAGCCCTATGTTCGTGCAGTCCTGTCGCATGGGAAGCCATTCGTTGTGGGCGACGGCCAGAATATTCGGTCCCACGCGCATGTGTCGGATGCTTCGTCGGCTCTGCTGCTGATGGTCGACGAGGCACTGAAAGGCGAATTGAGCAAAGGAAAATGGGGGCGAGATGGGTATTACTTTGTTGAGACTGGCGAATCATCGTTCATGGACGACGCGAAGGAGACAGCTGAGGTGTTACAAGCTCGAGGTTTGGTCAGGAGCAGCGAGATCGATAGCCTGAACAAAGATACAGCAGCTAGACTTTGGAGGCCTGGGCCGATGTTCTAAGGATCAAACGCTAGATGCAGAGGAGAGAGATTGAGGACACTGGGCTGGCGGCCTTCTGGTATTTCGCGACGTGAGACACTCGGGGAGACGATCGGCTATTTTGTTGGCTCTGGACCGTAACAGTGCTCTATACGAATGTAGTTGAAAGGGATGCGACGAACTCGGAACTCTCGAAATTTTTGCAGACCTCCATGTCCCCGCTAAACCTAGCGAACGCAGTATGGATCATCGCGGACGCAGAGGTGGGGACGCGTCTTCTCAGCCCGCCCGCTCTTGTCGAACTGCCCGCCGCCTGCTCCGCGAAACGCGCTGACTGTGTAAAGCTAAGCCGATTAGGCCTAGTGCTATCCAGACACCAACCAATCAAGGCCCTGATCAAAATCAGGGTTCGTCAGCTCCTGAGCCTTTGCCCTCTTGATCGGTCATCTCGACGAATACAGACAGGAGAGGGCGTCCGATGCCGAAATTGAACCCTCGACACCCGAGACCGAAGCAGACGACCCTGAATCGGGCGAGGATTCTGGCGCTCTTCGCGAGGCCACCCCCAAAGAGCAATGGGACGGCGGGGGCAAGGGTCCGGAATGCCTGAGTGAGGCGAGTGGAGGAGAGGCTGGAGGTCTCAGGATGCGATCGGGCTTCCCTGCCGAGGAGAACATGGGCGCCTTCGATTTGAAATGTTTGGCGGCTGGTGCCCTAGCCGCGGTTGCAGTCCCCTCAGCCAGAGCCCGACGCAGGACCAACTCCGCCCGTCGCCAATAGTGATGTTGTGGGCGGGAGAGCGCAACCAGCGCCGGCCCCTTCCATGGCGATACACCCGAGACGGAAGGAGCCCCCGAAAGACGAGCTGAATCCCGCAAATGCGATGCCTTCTCCTTATAGCCCTTCCAGCATCTCCTCGCCACCCCGACAAGGACAGACACCGCTATCCATCAAGGTAGATATGAGGTCGCCCACGGCCAGCATACACTCGAACAGCCACAGCGAGGGTCTACCACCCATTCAGCTCAACTCACCGAGATACGAGACGAAAAACCAGACACTCCCATCCATTAGATCCCAGTTCGCAACTCGGCAGCAATTACGTTGCGGGGGGCGGACTGCGATGCTCACATCACGGCTTCCCCGGCTCTTCAACTGCTGCTCTGCCGTGCCTCCTGTCCTTGCACTCCTATCTTGGATCACCCCCTCTGCCAGGGGCTGAACCGTACCGCGATCCGCTCTCTCCAGTCCACCCGCTCGCTACGCCTACCGTGAGTTCCGGATTCTACTACTCCCAAACGAATGGCCGCCCTGGATTTCCACAAAGGGTGCTAACAAAGAAGTGGTTGCTATTTCCCGAGGACGACCATGAAAGAGCGAGAATCATTAAGCTGGGCCAAGACAAGAAGCTTCCCGCATCCCCGGTCGAAAATTACCACTCGGAAATGGACAGGGGCGGCAAGACCGCCGGTGGATTTGGATGGACAGAAGTTCACAGAGTCAAGTGCGTATCATTACCTCACCGATGGGTACTACATCGCCAGAACACTGACGTCTAGCCTCAAGGATGCCCAGTCGTCGGCAACTGGCGCTAACCAGCACCACCTAACTGCTTTCTACCCAGGCGGCTCGCGAGCAGCGAATATCGAGGACTGAAGAGACAGGTGGTCGGCGCCGCCTGCCCGTTGGATGGTCAGTTAGTTACTGACTGTTCCGCGCGCGCAAGCCTCGAAGTAAGGGAAGTACCTGCGACAATTGCCATGCGAGAAAAAAAACGCGACCGTATCCTCGGCTGGTCGGGTGGATGGATCGTTGATCGAGGCGGTTGTTCGCTGGCTGGCGTGGTCAGCCGCGGGTCGGTTGGTTTGCGCGGGCGGGGCGAAACAAAAACGGTCGACGGGAAAACGCCGACTGGCCGAAGGAAAGCCTGAAGAGGGCGGCAACAAAAAGATTGTTGATCCAGCTGTTGCGAAACGATTGGTCGCTCCAGGTTGCGCGGCGCAGTGTTGTGTTTGCGCTCTGGCGCGAACCCGGTGCGCCATGGCAACGCTCGTTCCCAGGCGTCGTCGGCATTATCGATAAGACCCTGCCTAGCCGAGAATGGAGTTGCTAGTTTTTCCGCTCCAGCCTTGGCTCGCCCTGCCACCCACCTCTCTTACTGCAATTCCTTTTTACTGCGTTTGCCTCACCTGTTAAAGCGCTCAAGTGGTGAGTTGCACTTCTGTCCAAGACAAACGAGTCATCTGCACAAAGGCCAGACATGCAATCATTTGCTTGGCTTGCTCCAGGGACAACGCCCGGGAAGCCGAATCTCGGCCCAGTGCATACGTAGGTAGGCATCGAACCCTAATGCCTGGGGATGCCTGATGGGGGGGTCCTTGGGGAAGCGATTTACAGCAGTCCCCTCCAGATGGCTCGCCCAACAACTGTCGTCTTATATATCCAGGCAAGACAGAGGGTAACAGAGAGAGCAACCCCCCCTTTGACCTTTTCCCAGTGGCCTAGAGTACCCGAGCGTCGAATGCGAGTCACTCTTAGTTCGATGGACAGCGTAGCTGATCGTTGACGACATGTTGTACGCCGGAACGTGCCACAGCGACCGCCCGGCGATGTGACCATGGCGCGGCAGATGAGCCGGGAGGGCGAGGGCATTCAGCATGATGCCCGGCGATCCCGAAAGACGCGGTCGATGGCCGCCGAGGGGGTTATCAAAGGGCCATCGTAGCCGTTGTCGCCATCGCCTACGCCGATCAATCGGTCCGAGATGGGCGACGAGCCGCTGCTGGCGCTGTTGGAGCTGCGTGATTGCTGTGTTGTTGTCGTCGTTGTCGTCGTTGTCAATTGGAACACTGTCTGTGCCGCTCCTCCTCGGCACTCCTTCCTGCCGCCTGCTACTTTCAATGAACCTGCGGCGCCTCTCTCCTGCCGCCTCCCCACTGAAGTAGGCTTCCCATGCAGCTGCCCCAAGGGGAGGGGGGTGTAAGGGAATGGGGGCGGCCCGACAGAGGCGCACCCCGGGCCGCCTGCCCGTCCTGCCCAGCCACGAGAGACAACAACAGCCAGTCCAATCCAACAACGACAGGTATCCGTGGCTGTAGCGAGCATGTTGGTTGTCGCCTGCCCCCAAGATACAATAGTCCCAAGTTGTTCACGAACGATCGGATGCACCAGCAGCGGTCTTGCGAGCACCCTCTCTAGGATCGCTGGGGCAGGGAGAGGCAGGCCGACGTTCCCCGCATGCACATCTACGTGGGTATTATTGGATATCAGCTGCGAAGGTCTGGCGTTTGTATCGAGACAGGAAGTCGTACGTACCTCCGTGCACAAGGCCAAGGCGGTGTAAGGCACTGAGCCCGCGGACGATGTCTCGGATGCATTGGACCTTGTCGGGAAGGGTCAGGCGCTCGAGCGTTGCGCCGGCTGCCTGCACATGTGGCCTCTTGCTGACCACTATACCGCGCCGCACCAGGTGTGTTCCCGCCCGCCTGCCCCCGACGCCCCGACAACGCCCGGCGAGTGAAAGCGGCTGTGGAGCAATACGCGATACGCGCGCCATTGAACCCAACATTGGCGCTTTTGCAGCGCTGCGTTGTGCAGTGGGTGTGGGGGCGCTGCCTGATGTGGCCATTTCGCACCAGTCATCCTTGCAGCATGATGGAGGGAACCCCACGCCGGCCGGAATCGCCCGACTTCCTGGCCTCCGCTCGCTCCTTCGCCCCTCTCCTCCTTCGCCTGCTCTCAGCCGCCTCTGCCTGCTCTCCCAAACCGCTGCCGCCACGCTGCGGGATTTGCTATGGGACAACCACGTCGCCGCTGCGGTCACTCGTCACACTAGGTCCGCCATCCTCACATTCCAGGTATTTTTCGACCCTTCGAGTGACGACGTTACATAGTACCCAACTAGTCGTGCCTCAACAATCCTAGTTATCAGAGGCCGAGAGGCAAAGACGATAGCGGATGGGCAGCGCCGAGACGATCCCCGAGCCTCAATGCCCCTCTACGCTCGCAAAATGGGCCTCCTGTGTAAACGTTGCATTAAACCTCAACCGCACTAGAGTTTGGCTCAGAATTTACATGGAAGGGGCCGTGGACAATCCCACCTTCTGGTGGAATTCCTCCAGCACCTTAGGACATTCCTTGAAATGCTTAGCAGGTTCCCAAATATTGTGCTTGTGCCCATACCCTTTCCACTTGACCAGGTACTCCCGCCCCTCTTTTCCCTGTCTCCAGCGCCGAATGTCCTCAACCTGAAAATACTCGCCGTCTTGTACCTCCCCAGCCGTGGAGGTAACTCTCAAAGGGAAGGCACGCCCCGCCGAGGAAGTCCCTGCTGGTGACTGCGCCATTGGGTTTCAGGCGTGTGGTCGTTTCGTCCATGCTTCGTACAAGGGTTCCACGTGCACGTGAATCCAGCTGAAAAGTCGCCATCCCATCCACCAAAGCGCACTTGAGGACGCCCGGTCCAAGTGGCCATTCCTCGAAGCTTGCAAAGGCATGCTGGAGTGTCTCCTCTTCTAAGGCGGACCCCCCTGAAGACTTGCGGCTTCCCTGAAGCTTGCGGCTTGGAAATGCTGCGCTGACTTTGGCGGCGCTTTGGACCTGAGGTTGATGGTGGTCGTTGAGCCCTTCAAGTTCGCGCCAAGAGATCCGAAGACGGCGAAGAGCGATGGAAATGATGTGTCAAAGATTGGGAACAAGATAGCAGATAGTGGCCCTATTGGCTAGCCGTGTGTAATCTGCAAATACAACTTGCACTCGATGCAGCTGAATATCAAAGCCGAAGGCGGTCTCCAAATATTGCGGGTAAGCTGATTAGGCCGAAGGCCGAGCAGCGAAGATCCATGTACGCCAACGTCGTTTGCTTTTTGCCTTGATTATTACACCTCTCTCTCTCACACACTCTCCATCACTCCACCCCGCGTTAGACCTTTCGGGGTAAAGGGAGGCGCATCTGCCTTGTCACAAAATCATCAATCTGTTCCTTGCCTAAGTCCTTGCCGTCTCCTATCTCATTGCTCATCATCACCATGACTGTCCAGAAAGCGATTCAGATAAAGGCTTTAGGCCACGCTGAGTTGATCACCGATGCGCCGATACCCAAGCTTCGTGACGACTACATTATCGTGAAAACCGCCGCCGTGGCACTCAACCCGACGGACTGGAAGCATATTGACTTCCTAGCCAGGCCCGGCGCCATTGTGGGCTGTGACTACAGCGGCACAGTGGAGCAGATCGGTGCTGCTGTCCGCAATGGACTGAAAGTTGGTGACAGAGTGATGGGCCTCATCCACGGAAGTGAGTAACAGTTCATCTGACGAAAAGGAAACGGCCGGGATGTTTGGGCGTCAAGAACATATTCGCTAACTAGAGCCTTTACGGCCACAAGGCAATCAATCCAACCACGAAAACGGCGCATTTGCGGAACGTGTCGCGGCAAAGGGCGATATTCAGATGAAAGTGCCGGAGGAAATGACATCTGAAGATGCCTCGACGCTCGGAGCTGGCATCATCACGATGGGACAAAGCCTATACCAGTCCCTGGGCTTGCCACAACCCGATGATCCGGCCAAGGAACCGATTCCACTCTTGATCTACGGTGGAAGCATAGCGACTGGCACGCTCGCAATTCAGTTTGGAAAAATGTACGTTCATCGGCGGCTGAGCACTTCTTCGCATTCTTGCTAAGTGATACCACTGAACAGGTCGGGTTTAACTGTCATCACAACCTGTTCGCCTCACAACGAGAAGCTCGTGCGCGATATGGGCGCAGACTATGTCTTTGACTACAATTCCCCAGACTGTGCCGCGAATATCCGCACAGTAACTGGCCATCAACTCCGCCACGTATTCGACACTGTGTCTACGGAAGATACTGCCAAACTCTGCTGCGAGGCAATCGGGGCCCAAGGTGGTAAATATACGTCTCTGGCGCCAATCGAAAAGCTGCCGCGCGACGATGTCAGCAATGGAAACACGATGGCTTACACGGCAGTTGGAGAGGCATTTAAACTCGGCGACAACCACATCCCTGCGAAGCCGGAAGACTTTGCGTTTGCAGTCAAGTTCACAACGTTGGCGCAAGACTTGCTTTTTCAGCACAGGTTCAGGGCGCATCCTACCAGCCTACGGCGGGGCGGGCTAGATGGTGTCTTGGATGGGCTACAGGAAATGCGTGATGGTCAGGTATCCGGAGTTAAACTGGTGTATAGCTTAAACTAGTCGTCTATATTCACGTCGTCCAATCATCACCAGTGGCGCTTTTTTTTTTCTTCTGGAACTTCAGCGTCTGGAACAGGGGTGGTTCTGCGCGTCCGGGCTGGCTGAGATGCCGCCCAAGGTCCCGTGTTAGAGGCAGCTTCCGAGGACGGCCATCTCGAGGTTGTTGAGCAGCTCCCCACAGCTGGGGCTAATGTCAATGCCAACCTTGCCGAGTTCGCCGGCGGCCGCACCGTGTTGCGTCGATCCGCCAACCTGCGCACGAGCCACCAGCGCATACGCCGGAGCAAGCGCTGAAGTGAGTACAGGGGTGGGCGGGGTGACATCTGCATATATTCATGCGTGCTTCACACAATGCTCACACAGGACGGGGCTTTTGTGGGTGCAAAGAGGGATGTTGGAGACACGGAAAAAGACCTGCCAGACAGCGTAGTGTTGCACTCGTCGATGGCCATGCGTAGGGAACCCCAGCATGATGGCGATCAGGTCACTGGTGCTGGTGCCGCCAATCATGTCGAAGTAGTTGCAGGGCTTGGCGCGCGGCGTCGGGATCAACGCCATCAGCTGGTGGGACAGCTGATTTTCCGGGAAACGGATCCAAAAAATTTGCTGACTAATTGCCCTGTGGCACAGTTGCAGTGGCTGGGCAGCCAGCATGGCACGGGACGCGCCTCCTCTTCTTTCTTTTCCACTTGAGCATGCCATCTGCAATGGCAGACCAACCGCGGTCAACGATTATCGAGAATAATCCCATCGGAAACGGCCTTGATGCCTTCCGCGCTTCGTTCAATACGATCTGCACAGACAGGACGATCTCGCGCGTTCCAGACGCGCTTGGTCAACTTGACCAAGAAGGTATGACAGTCCAGCTTTGTAGAGTACGTGCCCCTCTAATCGATGTGCAGCACTCCGGAAACTCTCTGGGAGCGGCGCAAAACCTCCCTGCTGCCGACCTGCTCCCTGCCACGACACATCGTGGCACCCTTCGACACACCCTGCGAGACGACCTTCTGCGCCTCGAACTCTCGCTGTGCGATACCCTCTAGACCCCCACATCTGCTGGTCGGAAACCGACCAGCAGATGTGGGGCTTCTAGATTTTCCAGCAGCACCAGACTTGTCTGAGCGAGGAGACTGAGAGCCCCGTGAGTTTTGACCATGATGAAATTTAGTCGGGCGCATTACTGATCCCCGCGAGTGCAAGGACCGCATGAGCCCCGAGGAGTTCAGTACACTTCTTGCCGAGCTTGCAGAAATTGGATATAAAGTGCCTCCCTGTCTTTGTGATTGTTGCGATACGGGCATCAACTGTCTGGGATATCCAATTGCGCCTAGCTGCCGAGCTTGTGAAAGGGATCCAGAATCATTGCCAGGCGAGATCGAGAAGAGGCAGTGAGGGCGAGAGTGAACTCGGGTTAGAATGAGCATGACGCGCGCCCCCCGAGCCAGCCCAACAGGAGGGGTCAGGCGCTCCCGGGTGGGCATCGTAGCACCCTGAGCAGCGGACGCCCCTAGTGCTCCCGAGGCAACTCGGAGCAGCGGGAGCGCGCAGTTATATTCTGTGTAGTCACTCGTTCTGAGGAGTTCTGAGAGTTAGTTGTCAACACAAGCCTCATTCCATCCGTCTCATTCAGTGAGCCGAAGAGGAGGAAAGGATAAGGCCAGGGAGGGCCGTGAGGTGTTGGCTGGTAGATAGCATAAGATTCCATTGGCCGTCATCTCGATCGTGCTCACAACACAGAAAACCGCACTGGCAGTGTCATCCTCGTCGTTGCTGTGACGACCCCCGGGGAGCACGCCTCGTCCCGTCCCCCCAGCACCCACGCGGAAACCTAGAACCCCTCGGCTGCTCCATGGCATCGGCCCGCCCGGTCGGTCCTGGAATGAAACAAGGCCAGGCACGGACGCCACCCGCCTTGTGTTGGTGCAACGTGCAACACAAACGCATGTGGCATCCTTCTCTCCAGCGCAGGTTTGTGTGTTGCCGTTTGCCCTGTTCCTATCGCGATCGGCGGCGACAGCGCGAAAAAAGCAGGGCACTGGTCCCTCAACGCCGCCGCCACTGACGCAACGGTCAGGGGCGCAACAACACCCGAAACCCGTGCAGGCGGCCCTGCTTTGCACACGGGGCAGCTGACGGTGACATCAGAGCAACCTTGGCAAGGTTGGGCCTGTCCCTCTTCGACCCTTACCCGCGAACCCCTTCCAAAGCGCCGAGATATCCCCTTCAGATCTGCCAAGAAATAAAGTTAGCCCCTAACGGTAGCCGCGGTTATCCGATGCGACTCCCCGGATTGGGTCCCGCGATCTGAATACCCACATCTCCTGTCGAACACACAGGGTCCTTCCTTGTCCTTGGTGGCGAGCCCTCGTGCAACTCGAATCCATCCCAACAAACACAAACAGGAGAAAACAAGCCGGCGGCTGTCGCCCTGAGGACTCCCAAGTCAAGCCGGCCGGCCACACGTGCTGGTGACGGCCCAGCGGATATGCCGATCACCACCCTTCACTCTACCAAACTCCATCAAAGCCCGGCCATGTGCCCACCGGCTCGGTGACTCGTTTCCACAACCCACAACCTCATTTCACCTCCTCACGGCTCCTTCCGTCGGGCCAGCTCCCCCGGCACACCGCCGGAGGCCATGTCGGCATCACCCGCACAAACAATCTCACTCAGGCAGGCAGGCCTCCAACCAAAGGGATATCTGACATAGTTGGTATGCATGCATGCAAGTTCCGTATTACACAACCGCCGTCTACTGATATTAACCCCATCTAACACGAGCAGCTCGGTACGCCCCCGCCAAGTCCTAAGGCCTGGGGACAACATGTCCAAGAACATCACAAGCGCGGCTCTTTTCTCCTTTTTCTCCCCCGCCGCCACAAGCTGACCCACAGGGCTTGGCAATTCCGGCTTATACCGAACAAATCACCCCGACTAGCGGCTTCGTGTCTGGCATCAATGGGGCACCCACCCCCTCTACCCAATCACAGCTACCTAGTGGTTCCCATTTAAGCAAGGGGGCACTTGGGTTTTTTGCATTTGCCTTGCCGATCTATCGGGAAATGAATGCTCTATGTGGATAGGGCCGGGAGATGCGGAGAGCAAAAACAAGATAACAAGGGATTCAGGAGTGCCACAGATGAAGCCGGTGCTTTTATATACAGCACACGTCCGACGCTTCACTGAATCATGTCGGAGACGCAGGACGGCGACCCGGCACCGGAAAAGATGGAGCACAACGAAAGCAACCTCGGCCCGCTCCTCCTCGGCATCAACATCACTGCTGCCATACTCGCCGGCATCACCTGTCTTTTGCGATGCTATGTTCGACTTTTCATGCTCAAGGCATTTGGGTTGGATGATTGGTTGATGGTTATATCGACGGTGCGCACAACCAAACTCGTTCGCTGCGAGTGAGTGACGTCGACTGACAGCTGAGACACAGATAATCTTCATTACATACAGCGTCTGCTCCAACACAGGCGTGCACTATGGCACGGGCCAACACAGATCCGATCTCTCAGAAGAGAACTATATGACGGCAATGAAGTGGTGGTTTATGTGTTACCCCACGTACGGCGGCACTATGTTCTTCGCCAAGCTCTCCATCGGCTGGTTCCTGCTCAGGGTCACCATCAGCCGCATTCACCGGTGGATCATCTACACAGCCGCTATCGTCACCTGCGCGAGCTGCCTCTGCTACTTCTTCGTCGCTCACTTCCAGTGCAACCCCATCAGCTACTACTGGGACAAACATAGCCAGACAGGCACGTGCATTGATGTCCACATTGTCATTTGGCTGGTGTACCTGTACAGCGGGTTCGCCGTGATCAGCGACTTCACGTTCGCCCTGCTGCCGGCCTGGGTGGTGAGCCATCTGAACATGAAGAAGAACATGAAGATTGCGGTCATCATCCTTATGGGGATGGGCTGCGTGTACGTTTGCCCCGTCTTCATCCCCTTTCTCCCGTCTGCAATGAGGTTAACAGTCAGCGCAGCGCAAGCGCAGCAGTGGTCATCCGCTGGCCGTACATGCAGCGCCTCGGCTCGAACGACTTCCTCTGGGACTCGATCCCGATCGCCATTTGGTCGACGGTCGAGCAGTGTCTCGCCATCACGGCGGGGTGGCTTGCCACGCTGCAGCCTCTCGTCAAGATGATTCGCAGCAAGCTGGGCATGACTACCACCCACCCCACCCTTGGCAACTCGGAGAGTTACAACATGAACGGTGCGATTTCGGTTAAAAAGTCGTTCACCAGGTGGACGGAGCCATCCTCGCTGAACGGACAAGAGCGTGACCTATCAGGCCGGTCGGGGGGACTGAAATTTCAGCCGGGGTTTGCAGCATACTCGGCTACGTGTTATAATACAAGCCAGGAGGAGCTCAGGCCGGATAGGCCTGGCACGGCTCGGTTAGGTTCGGGCAATAGTAAGGAGAGCAAGGGTGGTGTAGAGTTGGGAATCAAGACTAGTAATGCAAGGTAGATAGTAGATACAAATCACGATAATGAATAGTTTCTTTTTGGTACAGAGACCTATTACAATTAGCTGATGATCTGTGGAGTTGGCTTCTAAAGGCTGTCCAAATCCTACTTCTAACTTATATCCAGAATGTATAAAGGGGTATATAAATACATAGAGCAATAACCAACAACTTTTTCTAGCAAGTCAGTCAGGAGGTATTTAGTCTGGATCAGCTTCCGAGCAGGATCTGAAACTCGCGGAGGAAAAGCGCAAAGCTATAAATCGGAGGTCGTGCCTGAAGCGCAAAGCAACGCTGGAGAAGGGGAAGGCGGCCAACGAGAAGGCGGCTGCTAGATCCGCCCAGCAGAACCACAAGGCCAAAAGTTGGCTAGCAAGCGCGCTCGCGGTCGGTCAGATTCGAGAAACTGACAAGTTCCGTTGCTAGATTGAGAAGGCCGAAGAGTCTCTCGGAAATGTGAACGCCAACCGCCTATGTGGCGTGTTTCTACAGGCGAGGGAAGTTGTGTCACGTCCTCCCGGATTGCCCTCCCCACTCAGCAAAACTGGCTTGCGTCTGCAGGCCGTTGTCTTCAGCATTGTGGCCATCTTGTGGCTGGTGGAGCTTCCGTCCCCTCAAGCTCGATTGGATCAGCTAGGAATAGTTCTTCGCTGGTTCGCGATCAGCGACGGGGCGTTTGCCGCGGGCCAAGCACTTCTGTTTTTGGTCACCTTTGGCGGCAGGATTGGCGATCATATCGTTACTACGAGTGAAGCAGTCTTGGTCTGGCTCGTTCTCGGACGCCGCATCGAGGGCCACATGGCGGCGTTGAGTGGTGAGACAGAACCATTGCTGGGTCAGCTTGGTGAAGTGGTCCACCCGGACTTGGAGGGAGAGCGGAGCGAGGTTGAAGGGTGGCCTCAAGTTTGACGTCGGTGGTGCTTGACCAACGACAAGAAGTACAGATTGAAAGCCTCAGTGAACTAGACAAGGACAGCTACTCTATGGATGCACCTGCTGCAAGCCACAGTTGCGGACATTACGGTATAGGATCAGGCCAGGCGCATGCAGGATGGGGGGCCTGCACGTCATTGTGTGTAGTGGTGGGATGTGGACGGACTATCGGGTTTTGACGGACCCGTGGGGGCGAGCCGGAGTCGTCAAATCGTCAATGATAAATGTCAACCTTCCCTCCCTCCTACCATCAGCCTTTCCTCCCTCTTACCGTTAAACTTCCCTCTCTCCAAATATCGAACTGCTTCCTCCCGCTTATCACTATGTCGATCCACAAAACTCAGCCTGCTACACGTCCGCCGGGCAGGGAGAGACCAACGGCTCAGGCTGAAGGAGAGCGTCCTGACAGCGCTCAGGAGCACCTCTTTTATCTTCTTCTTTTCTCTCTCTTCATCCTCGCCCTCCTCTCACGCCAGTGCCCAGATTCCGGCGCGGCCCCCGTCTCGGTCTTCTTCCCCGCCGGCGTCGTGTGTCTAATTTCCCTCGGCTCTTTCGTCTCTTTCGTCTTCCTCCTCTCCCCCCTCGGCACCGAGGCTCTAGTCTTGCTCGCCCTCATCTCCTTCCTCTTGCGCCTCCGTCTCAACTAGCAGCAACGCGCCTGTCAAGTATCTGCTTCGGACGGAAAGATAACGACGAATCGGCCGAAACCCGCCTTCTCTGTCCTTCCGTCCTGTATCGCCATCGGTGCCATCTTTCCGAGAAACAACGCGCACCCTACCCAATGGTTGCAGACATCATAGTATTGTAGGTATGGGATCAGGCCGGGCTGGGGTTGAGCACGAGGTCATCCTTGTGTGTGTCCCAGTATGCAAGGAGAGCCTGCGAGCGGTCAGTTCTGAGATGGGCTTCTGAGGGAGGCGACAGCACGGCCGTGCGGAGCAGGACTGGGCCGCAGCACTCACCCTGACCGTCAGTGGGAAGCCGCCAATGGAAACAGAGTGCGCCGCGCCAAAGTTGACATTGATGCGGATGGCGGTATCAATACCAGGCCGGATCCGGTCCTCGTCTGCGACCTTGTAATATGGGAGGTCTCCCTGCCCGTCCGACCCCGAGGAAACCCCCCCGGGCCTTGGGTAGCACTCACGCGGCACTCTGTGCTATGCCAAGCACAGTTTCCGCACTTGCCGTTGTCGATGCTGGGTTGCGAGACGCAACCTAGGAACGGATATGCGACGGGCGAACGGCGTTCGGGTTGGCCATGCCTCCGGTTGGGCTCAGCAGTTGTATATTGGCCCTGGCGGCTTGCGCAGCACAGGCACTGTTCATCGTTTCTGGCCGGCAACAGGCAGTTAGCTGGCCATGCTCCGCAGCAAGCCTCCGCAAAAAAGGGGGGGAGGGAGGGGGAACTTACACCTCGCCGCCGAGTGACTGGATGATCAGCGCCGTCGCACGTGCCCTCGAGGTGCACACCTCGGCCAAGACTCTGCCAAACGGCAGGCCATTGTGATGCTCAACGAATACCGGGTGGACACGGAACTTGCAGAACAGCCAACTGATGGAAAGTGACCGTACGAGGTCGTAGCCGGCTCCAAGCTCGCTCGCGAGGGCTGTGAACCCGGCCCACGTCGATGGCAAATCCCATCGGACGTAGAGGCAGTGGCTTTTTGGAAGTCGGTATACACGCAGCCACCTCAACGCGCCGGTATGGTTTGAGAGTGAGAGTTGAGGAGAGGCTTATCTAGTCTTATTTACTCTTGCGAGGTGATCACTCACTCACCTCACCCACCCACCCTTCCTTGACAATCCGGCTGGAGATGCTCCTTTTTTTCACCGGTGTCTCTCCTGCGGTCCATTCCGAACCTGCATCGGCCACCTACACATGTATTACGCGCTGGTTGTACTTCTATGGAGAGATTATTATGGAAAATTGTGGATTTATTGATTCAGATGGTAGCTTTTCAGTACAACATACTAAGTACTGCGGCTGCGGCCACCCTTTACATCTTCTCCTGACTGGACCTCTGCTCGCCTTCTGAAGAAGAAAAGTGCTGGAAAGGGGGGGGCGTCCCACGCTTGGCGCGGCTTGGGGCCTGTGGTCCTGACGCCGTGAAACGTTTGCCAGCTTCCTGAGGCCTGGCAATTTGTCGTGGAGTGTGAGAGATGCGACATGATACATCGCGTAATATCGCGCTCAATACATGGCGTTGGCGTTCCGAATCCCCGGTCCGAAGAATGGCCAGGAGAAGGGGGCAGGCCAGGGAAAACCGAGAGGGTGAACCATGTGGCTCTGTTATCCGCTGGTAATGACAGTAAAGTACCGCTTTTCAATTCGGACTTAACAAATGACTCTGTAAAGCCGCTTCCACTTCGGCCAACTCTGCCTCTCCTCTTCCTCCTGCGCCTTGATAATCCCCAACCTCCCAAAGTCCCGCCTCCCCGTATCAATATCCATATCCTCCACTCTCACAAAGCTCGTCCGATACCACAGCTTATGCCCGAGCCAGAAAACCAATACCACAGGCAGCGCCAGACACTGGACAAAGAAATTCTGCGCTATCTCACTCACAGTCATCCGCTCGTCCCCATCGGTGGACAGCGGCGAAATAGCCACCCAGAGCTGCGCCGCCAGGATCACCACATTGCAAATCAATCCCACCCAGCTCCCCACCACCCCAGCCTGCGCGCGAAACGCCATGTCCGCCACAGACCGATGCCGATACGCTCAGGCCTTGCGCAGTCGAATATGCGCTAGACAGGTGCTTGCCCAGGTAAAGATAGTGCTGAGCCCGCTGACGGCGAGCAGCCAGTCAAACACGCGGCCGTAGGCCTGGTAGTTCGCCAGGTAGGCCAGCAGGCCGATACTCGAGACGGCTAGGATAGCAACGAGCGGCCTGCCCTTGTTCGGCGAGGGCCGCGAGGGTGCGCGAGGAGCCGAAGACGGAGGAGTTGCCGACTGAGATGACGGATACTAGGATGACGCCGTTCATGATACTAGGGAGCACGGTGGTGCCGGCGCTCTCGATCGCGATCACGAAGGGGCTGGCGGACGCGTCGGCGACGCTGGTGGCGCCAAGGAGACGGGGTTCGGTGTAGGGGACGAGCAGGCCGACTAGTGTGAGGGAGACGATGTAGAAGATGGTAATGCGCCAGAAGACTTGTTTGATAGCTGTAGGTAGAGACTTGCGGGGGTTGGATGTTTCGGCTGATGCGAGGCCGACGAGCTCGGTACCTGCGAAGGCGAAGGCTGCGGTCACGAAGACAGTGCAGAGGCCCTTGAAGCCGTTGTTGAATGCCCCCGGGTCGTACCAGTATTTGCCGCCTATGTAGCCGCTTGTTGGAGTGCCACCAATGTTGATCACAATGCCCAGGAGGCTTCCAGTTGTCAGTGCTAGAGAAGGAGAAAGGGGGTTGGAGCAGGGAATATAAGGGGTTGGGGGGGGGGGGGGGAGGCATCGCAAAATGAGTCAACTTACATGAACCCAATAATAGCTATGACTTTGACAATCGCAAAAAGAAACTCGGCCTCGCCATAGCCACGGACACCTGCCAAGTTAATAGCAACAATAATAACGAGAAAAATAGTGATAAAGAGTGACAAAGGTAACGTTACCGACGAATTCCAGTAACCCATAGTTAAAGCGCCAGCGATAATCTCCAAGGGAAGTACCACGATCCACTGCATAGCATAGCTATTTCGAGGACTGTTAGACTTTTCAGATAGTGTCCGCTGTCCTGGCGGTTCCGTCCGTATTGTCCTTCACTTGCGGCTGTCAGCCTTGTCCCGGCTTGCTACCGTAGAAGTTCGACCTTACGTACCTCTCTTGCCTCGCTGATGCCCTCTACATAGTCCCAGGTTCCATCGAAGACGTCCTCTTTCTCTTTTCCTCGACGGTAGCAGTTCGTGCCGCCGGGGTGGCGATGGGTACCTTTCTGCTTTCTCTTCTGCTTGTCGCGACTTCAGGGTATCAGCCCAAGTTGCCCGGTGCTTGCCGCAAAGGGATCCGCTTGTGGCGATCTCGTTGCACGCCCGGGTGGGGTCGTCCTCCCGTGGTCGGATGCACATCCTGCGCTTCCCTTGATGGTGCTGGCAGTACCGCTGCTCGTGCTCGAGGTGTCGGCTGCACGCCCGCTGTCCATTGCACGCCCGCTGTCCATTGTAAACGGGGTATGGGCAACACCCCCTATCTGAAAGAGACCACGGAAAAGCCATCGGACGGCTTCAGATGTTCGTTAGCCAGGAGCCAAATAACGATATATTGTTGTTCTGGGCGAAATCGAGAAGGAGATGCAGAACGGTAGTGGGATAGGGTGCGATTGAAGGAAAAGAAAAGCCAGCGGCAGGTATAGCCAGGGAAGCGAAGGGTTCTTGACTTAAGGTGGCAGCCTGTGACGGTGTTGCACCGGCTGTCACGATCCCCACGTGCTATATCACACTGCGCCACACTGATGATGGAACTGATGATGGAACTGATGATGGAACTGATGATGGAACTGATGATGGAACTGATGATGGACTGATGATGGAACTAATAATAGAACTAATAATAGAACTGACGAGCTGATGATAAAATGAATACGCCCTAAAGAATAATCTTCAATCTCGACCTTACTCTCCTTTACTCGAGTATCTTTGATTTAAGCTGCCTCTCCCCTTTAAATAACTCCTAGCTCTATCTCACTCGAATCAGTAGCTAAGTAAGTGTCCGTTTGCCGAGTAAATAGCACTTAACTCTAACAATTCCTTAGGCTACGATGTGTTATTGGGAGTTACATTTTCACAAGAAGTGTCGGCATAAAGTCCCCCCCGTTCTAAAGACGAGGTGTAACGTGGCAAAGGCAGCCCGGACTGATTGCAAGCTGTATGACCGCACTAGCACTCTTCAGCGGATCAGTATGGATTATGGATGCGTCAGGTGTACACGGGCTATTCGGGGGAACGAGCTACCGCGAAGCTAGCTCCAGGACTCGGGCCGAAGAGATAAAGGGCTAGCAGGCTAGCAGTGTTCATGATATTAAAAAGCAGGACTTCAAGTTTCGAAAATTCATCCGCTAAAGTAGGCAATTGATGAGGGTTCAAAATGTGCCTTATGCCTCTGTGTGTGGCTCGGCATCCGCCGGTTCGAGCTCGCTGGTACTCTCATCGTCCGGCAGTATGGGTGTACGTGCCCGGTTCTCCACCACTTGCGGCGGCACGGCAGGGCATATCCCATTCTGCTCTCCTCTGTCATCTGGAACCGGAGGATGGGTAAGGCGGTGGTCCGCTTCGAGATTAGTATTGCATTGTTCACCAATATCGCGCCGAAAGTTGATCCGGTCAATAGAGGCATGCAGGCGGAGATTCGTCGTATGGCAGGTTGGGGTCAGCTGGTTCCGCGCAGCTGGTTCCGCGCAGCTGGTTGCGCGCAGCTGCAGCTGGCTTGGGTAGATGAGGCTCGCTTACGGCCCGGCAGCTGTTCACGTCCATGGCTGCACCTATAGTGGACTACGCCTTCAATGTCTGGATGCACGAGTACAATTGGAAAGCCGCGCCGGCCATCAACAGGGGGCAGAGGATCGGAGCACAAGCGATCGTGGGAATCGGATCACTAACGTATGCTATCAGCAAACGCCGCATCCCAGCGACCGCCGCACTGGAAAGAGTTGTCTAAACTTTAAGACCGAGCGTTGACAGCGAGATTAAGCCGGGAACTATCTATTTGCAGTATAGCTTTAAAGTTTAGACAACTCTTTCCAGTACGGCGCTCGCTGGGATGCGGCGCTCGCTGATAGCATACGTTAGTGATCCGGCAGTTCATCTCTCAGCCTGCATGTAGTTGGGGCTTATTGGCGGACCCCGCTGCAAAACGGACCCCCCTGAGTGGGTCCGCCAACTTTCTCACGTGCTTCCTGCCGCAGGTTGACCTCTCGAACGCTCCGACGAGCCGCAACCTCCACGGCCGACAGCCGCAACCTCCACGGCCGACAGCCATCGCTTCTCTAGCACCATGGAGATATGCGACGCAGACCCGCCTGCCCCCTGCCCAAGGGACCCCGACATGCACGGCGTCCTCCACTCGTGGGCGAGGGAGTACCTGTGGGGCCGGCGAAGCATGCTGAAGGTGGCGGGCTTTTGTCCGAGGACGCGCTGCCTGGCAGAAGGCATCAATGAGACACGGCTAGGATGACTGCCACTTGGCGTGTGCAAGCTAAGGTTCATCCACAATGGCGATCCACACCCTAGTTAACGGCCTCCGAATAATTGACTGAGCTTGCTCTCCTGTGATGAAGACGCGCAAGTCGAAGCTCGGGGCCGACATCCCGGCACGTTGACCAAGATGGCCGACCTAGCGTTGACGTACCTGGGCCAGGGCCGGTGGGAGGAGGCCGAGAAGCTGGAGGGGCAGGTGATGGACACTTTCAAGACGACGCTCGTGGCGATCAAACTAGTCATGGAGGAAATGGGCTTCGAATCACTGGATTCAGACATCTGTCCACCGCCCTCATCGACACACCTCCCTCGCCTATGGGCTCGTTTAGGCTGGCTTTTGTATGGCGTAGTTTCACGGTGTGAGCTCCAATTTGCAGGCGGATTTGTCTCTTTTCATTTCAGAATATATTGCGAGGTCCATATTGCCGTCAGTACCAGCCTGGTCAACTGCCCCTGCCCCCGCTCGTGGTGACCCCGGCTCAGGTCTCCTGCCGCACAGCTCGCGCGTGGGACGTGGAAAGAGCCGCGATGCCGCAGTCGACGGCTGCGATGCTGCGGCGTGCTGCACCAATAACAGACACAGCGGAGACGTATCCCAAGCATGTAGGCAATATACGAGGTATAACGTAGTCCACAAGTGGATGAATCAGACAAGTGAGTGAATCATTCCTTATCGCTGCTTATATAAGGGAATCTAAATCTTTATAACTTCGCCATTTTAAAAGGTATTATAATAGTACTAATATCGTTCTTAAACGATAAGTATAATCTACTGTCACGATCCTGCCTCCGGAGTCAACCGTCTGGCAGGGCGCTGGGGTTGCTGTTCTGCAAGATAGGTAAAGCCTGTGCGATAACAACTAACACTCTGCTGTCGTTCTCTCTTTGGGGTTGTCGTGTCTCTTGGAAGAGATACCAGTCTCGGCAATTGAGTGACTAGTTCAAGTGTGTGGTGAAACTGATACTTAGATTGATCGCTGAAGTGCAAAGGTAATGACTGTCTATCTAGGAGATCCTCCTGTCCCTATATATCCTTTGCCCTTCATCGGATTTCCATAGAGATGCTCCTGTTGTCCTTGGATATCGTGGATATGTTGCGATCCAACATATCCGGGATATGCGTGGATATGTTGCGATCCAACATATCCTGCTGACATAATGAGATGCTTACATAACCAGGGGTGTGCCCGCCCCGCGTGCATGACCTGCCCTTGTCCTTGGCCCGTGTTAAGTACTGGCCCTAGGTCTGAACAGATACTAGGCGTATTAGATTTACTACGAACTTGGGAAATAAAAGGAGGTAGTTCGCACTCTCCGTGAGCGCGTTACGGTTTTGTTAACCCCCCCTGTCTCCCCTTTTTTGACCCACCTAGGCTCGGGCCAGAGCCCGAGCCCGTAACATACCCTCCTCCCCCCCCTCCTAGGATGGTCGGTATCGGGACCGCCGCCCCGGACTATCGTTCCTCCAAACTATAGCTCGAATTGCTTACCGGTATTAGGTAGCGTGTCGCGTAACCTCGCCTCTCGCGATATGGCTCACGCGTAGGAACCGCTTGGCTCCCGCGTAGGGGTCGCTTGACTGCCGCGTTACGTTGGTCGAGCGTGGCGTGAGGGTCCGGGTACGCTCGTATCTGACGCATGTCTAGACACGACGGCTGCCCGAGAGTATCCCTTTGCGGTCCGGGGTCGAGTCTTCCTTCCCCTCTTGCTGGGGTTCTGACTCTCCCGGTTCTCTCCATCTCTGTGATCCGGTGTAGACGGCACGCCTCCGACGACCGCCTAGGGGTGGCCTCCCGCGGATTGGCGTCGGGCTCCCGTTTTTTCCTCGGTGGAGCTCCGCCCTCCTCGCTCTCCTTCCTTCCCACAGTTCGGGCCCGTGTAGGCCGCGGGCGCCGCGATCCCTCTGCCCGCGCGCTTCATCTATAGGCGTAGGCCCCGCGTGCCTCGTGTGCTGGCGCCTGCGCGGAGAAAAGAAGGCCCGGCGTGCCTCGTGTGATGGCGCCGCCGCGGCGAAAAGTGGGGCGGCTGCCGGCCGGGCGACGTGCGCTGGCCGGCGCACCGGACCCACGTGGTGCGCTCGCCGGCAGGCCGCCCCTCCTCCTCGACACATATATAAAGCCCTCTCCCACCTCCCACCCCCCAAGTTTTCCCTCTTTCCTCCTCCTCAAGTCGCTCTCGCAGCTGCCCCGCGTTGGCAGTTTTCTTGTGTCTTTCTCTTCCCCGGTTTCCGCGCCGTTTCCGCCTCGCACCCCCGCCACCATGTCTGCCGCCGTCGACCTCGCTCCGGGCAGCACCGCCACCGGCTCCGGTGGTGAACCGCCTCCACTCCGTCGGGCACTCGTGGCGCCGCCAACACCCACCAACTTGCGCGCATTGCGCAGTTTCTCAACAACCGTTTCGACCACATCGACCGCCGCTTTGACCAGCAGGAAGAATTCAACAAG